TGTCTGCTCTTGTTTGCTCTTCTCCCAAATGCTGGCTCACATGCTGCAAACCTCTTTTTGTTTCCCCTAACTCAGGCCAGGGGTCCTGGGAGTGGGAAAGAGCTGCCTGAGAAGGGGGGCACCTGAGCCTTCAGCCTGGATTCTTCTGAGCTTCAGTCTGTTTCCAAGGGAATGCCCTTCCAAATGCACTTGCACTTGGGATGGTAGGAATGGCAAGGAGCCCCAAGAAAGGTGTGTGAGCCCCAGGGCCAGGCCATACCCTTCCCTGCCCACTTGAAGCCTCAGCTCCCATGGCTCTCCGAAACTGAACATCTCTTGCCCCACCCAGCCCTCCTATCTTCTTGATTGTCTTTGACCATCTCCTTTCTCCTTCTCCTTTTCTCATCTACTTATCCAAGAAACATTGAATGTGTGGCCTACTGTGTGCCAGAGTCTGTGCAGGGGTTAGTGGCTACAGAAATAAACCAAACCCAATTCCTGTTGTCAGGCAGAAAAGAAAGACAGTTGACCTGAGGATTATGATATAGCACAGAACACACTGGACAGTGGAGTTGGGTGGGTGGCCAAAAACTCTGGAGTCAGACTGATCTGATTCAAGAACTGTCTCCATCTCCTATTTCTTACGGTAAGACCTCAGGCAAATTGTCTAGCCTTGATAAGCTGCAGTTATTCATCTGTAAAATGGGGATGAGAATACTTTATAGGATTGCTGTGAAGATGAAATGACATAATCTTGGTAAACTAGTTGGAACAGTGGCCAGCATATGGCAAACACTCGTTAGAAGCCAGTTGGTATTATTGTAAGTGTTTTAAAGGTAACACTGACATTCATTACTCTGTACTGGGTGCTCACAGGTGCCATGCCTACAGCAGTGACTCAACTGTGGCCCTTGTCCTGAAAAGTACACAATCTATTAGAGGTGACAGATATGTAAACAGATGACTGAAAAAGTGCAATCACTGCCATTATCACTCGAAAAACTGTCATTTTTTGAGCCCTGATCATGTGCCAAGTACAACGCAAAATTTTAAAGTACATTACCTTTAACTCGTTGCTAACCCTGTGAGGGATCTATCATCTCCATTTTACAGAGGTCCCATAATCATTAGTAACTTGTTCAAGATCAGGCCATTTGCAGAATGAAGTATTGACTCAAAGGAGAGCAATCAACTAGACCTGAAAAGGGATCAGATCTGAAAAGCCTTCAAAGAAGAGGTGATCTTGTTTTTTTACAGACAGGGTCTTGCTCTGTCACCCAGGCTGGAGTACAATGGCAAGATCATGGCTCATTTGCAGCCTCAAACTCCTAGGCTCGAGTGATTCTCCCAAGTAGCCGAGACTACAGGTGTGTGCCACCATGCCTGACTAATATTTAAATTTTTGTAGAGACAGTGTCTCACTTTGTTGCCCAGGCTGGTCTGGAACTCCTGGGCTCAAGCAGTCCTCCCACTTCTGCTTCCCAAAGTGCTGGGATTACAGGCATGAACCACCACATCTGGCCAAACAGGTGATCTTTGATTGGGATTTTGAAGAATGAATAGTTTTCCAGAAGCCAAGACTGGAGAGGAGTGGCATGGCACAGCACTTCTGTGGGCCTGCAGGAGCACTGGAGCTTCAAGCAGCATCCACAGGAGTTCTCAGGCCTAGAGGTCCTTATGTCCCTAACAGCCATTCCGTTGTGTGCCTCAACATCACATTATAACCTAAATAAAAGGAGGGTGATTATTTTAGAGAGATTATAGTCAACAGCTTGAACCCAGAGGATTTCAGCTAAATCATAGAGCTGAAATAATTGCATGGAGTTGAAGTCCCTCATCCCCCATGTCCAGGTGCCCAGCAAGTCAGGGGGTGTGGGTTGGGCTCCCTAGGAGGCTGGGAGGCCACAGACTGGGCTGGAGTCAGGGAGACAGACTCAGTGACCTTGGGAAGACTCCACCAGATTTGGGGCAGAGAAAAATGAAATCTCTTCCTGCATTTCAGTCCCTTCACTTCTGCTCTCTGCCTGTTCACTCCCCTCATTTCCTGCCCACAGTCAGCAGGGGAGGCGGCCATCTTGGTGCAGTGGCAGGTGTGGAGGCTGGAGCCAGGACGTGGCACTGGAATCCATCTATCTGGCTGGTTCCACACCCGGGGAAACCTGGACTCATCATCATTAGCATTCTGTTTCCTTGCCCCGACCAAGGAGGCACAGGCAACCTGTGCAAAGGGCAGCAGCGTGGAGGGGGCACGCCTGGAGCAAAGCAGCCCTCAGAGCTCAGAGCCCGAGTCTCAGGGCCACCCATCCTCAGCCAGCGCAGGGAGGCACTTCTGTGAGCTGCTTCTGGTGCAATGTAGGGTTGGAGGAAGACCTTGGGGGTAACTTTAGGATCATAACCTGGTGAGGCTTTGGTGCTTGCGACAGATAGATTGCAGATGGCTCTCCAAACACCTGTCCCTATAATGTGATTTTGCAGGAAAAGGGTTGGATAAGGTCCCTCCCTCAGGTGGACCTACCCTCCACCCACTCCTTGAAGCAGCCCCGGCAGCCTCACAGGCCTAATTCATTCCTCACATTAAGAAGCAGCCCTGGGAGAGAACAGCCCCTATAGAGCAGGAAGCACGTGCACATTCCAATAAAGCACTCAAAGAGGCAATTATTTCTGGGCTGCCTATCCCAGCCCAGAGTACCAGAAGCCAAATTTCCAGAGCTGCTGTCATTGCCTCTGGCTGTTGGCAAAATTAAACTTCTTGAGAAATCAGAATGAGCTGGCCCCCAGTGTGAGGGGTTGGAATTATTCCCCTGCCCAGGACCCTCCATGTGGAGCTGGGTGTGGGTGGGGATAGGGGGAGATTATGGAGGAAGGGAGTGGATTGTAGGCTCCCATGAGATAGCACCTACCTGTTCTGTGTACACACTGAAACACACATGGAGGCCAGGCATGGTGTAATTGCAGCACTTTGGTAGGCTGGGGTGGGAGGATTGCTTTAGCTCAGGAGTTCAAGAGCAGCCTGGGCAACATAGCAAGATCTCATCTCTACAGATAATTTAAAAAATAGCCAGGTGTGGTGATGCATGCCTGTGGTCACAGCCACTTGGGAGGCTGAGGTGGGAGGATCGCTGGAGCCTGGGTGGTTGAGGTGGCAGTGAGCCATGATCATGCCACTGCACTCTGGCCTGGTGACAGAGGGAAACCCTGTCTCAAAAAAAAAAAAAAAAAAAGGAAGGAAAGAAATGTGTGGAATGGGTACTAAGTCTGCCTGTCACACACTGGGATGTTACGCTCAGTAATGGCAGGGCCCATGTGTTCTTGCTCACTGCCACTCCTCCAGCACCCAGGACAGCGCCTGGCACATAGTAGATGCTCGGTAGACACTGATTACTGAGTGAGTGTGCCAGATCTCATGATAAATGCGGTGAGACTCTTCCCTAGCCTTTCATCCAACACAGGTTCCATGCAGGTACCTTGAGAAACATCAGTACCCTACCTCCTCATCCTTCCCATGGGATGATGCTATGGGATCCTTAGTAAATGCCCCACAAAGTGAGATATGGGCTCCTTGAGACACGTAGGGGTGGCAGTGCCCTGATTGGGCACCACACAAAGGGGAGGCACCATCTGATGTCTCAAACCACAGCTTCCTCTTCTACCCACGTCAGAAATATTTGCCTGCCTTGCTTCCACCCTCTTGTTAGGCAAGTACCACTCACCCCTCCTATCTCCAGTCCCCCCTCCATCCTCATGGTGTGTCTCTCTTACTGTACCAGACACCTCTTGTGCACCACGACCAGCTCCACGCTGGCTTCAACCTGTTCATGCCGCGTGACCTGGCCGTGCCACACCCGCAGGGCCCTGAATTCATGCCCCTGCTCTTTGCCCCAGGGCTTCTTTGTTGGCAGGAAACTGCCTGGCTTTCCTGCCTGGGCAGCCCAGTGGTGCAGGGTAGGTCATTCCCTGGGGGAAACTCTTGGCAAGGGGAGTGGGAACTTGTCCTGGGTGGACAGTTGTGAATTGTTCATAAAGCTTTTCAGAATGCTCCCTGGTTACTTGAAGCTGTGACCAACTCAAAAACTCTTCTTTGGGCTCTCCTCTGTTGTCACCTGCTCCCTGGATCACAGCCTTTGATCAGGGTCAACTTTCAGGGGAGGTCGGCTTAAATCTCCCCCGCTTCCCTCTGCCCTCTCTGCCTCATCTACCCTGGTTTCCTTTTAGTTCTTCAGCTCTTTCCCACACCAGGCCTTGCCAACAAGCTTTCCACATTCCCTGGAGTGCCTTTCTCTCTGCTTGGGAAATCTCTCAGTTGAGACTTACATGACCGGAAGGAAGCAGTCACGAGAACATCAGAGAGAAAAAGTTCCAGGCAGAGGGAACAGCCAAGGCAAGAGCAATGAGTTAGGAGTGAAGTTGGCATGCTCAGGGCAGAGCAGGAGGGCCTTTGTGGCTAGAGCAAAGTGAGAGAAAGAGGGGCATAGAGTGCAGTTGAAGAGACCATGTGCAGTTTTGTGGGTCACAGTAGGGAGTCTGGATTGTATTGTGTTGTGTTGTGTTGTGTTGCGTTGCGTTGCGTTGCATTGCATTGCATTGCATTGCATTGTATTTTTTTGAGATGGAGTCTCACTCTGTCACCTAGGCTGGAGTACAGTGGTGTGATCTCAGCTCACTGCAGCCTCCCTGCCTCCCAGTTCAAGTGATTCTCATCCCTCAGCCTCCCGAGTAGCTGGGATTACAGTTGCCTGCCACCACGCCTGGCTAAGTTTTGTATTTTTGTAGAGATGGGGTTTTGCCATGTTGACCAGGCTGGTCTGGAACTCCTGACCTCAGGCGATCTGCCTGCCTCAGCTTCCCAAAGTGCTGGGATTACAGGCATGAGCCACTGCGCCCAGCTGTAAGTCTGCATTTTAAATGCATCAGGTAATAAACTCCATGAAGGCCGGGATTCTGCTAGTCTGATTCACTGCTGGTGCCCTGTATGTAGCAGGCACTTAGTGAATGTTTGTGAAATGAATGAATGAATATCTTACCTTTATCTGTATCCATGTCCTAGCCACCCCTCCCCCACACCAGGTGACAGCGTAGTCTTCAAAGACGACAGCTTTCAGGAGGGACAGGAGCAGGCTGTGGGAGGAGGCTGGTTGTGTTTTCTCCTAAAAGAATCCTTTGAGAGTGAGAGCCGCGCTGGCTCTGGGCGCTGACTCCTCTCCTCTCCTGTTTTCTCCCACGTTCAATTCTGATCCCGTTGCTCAATTCTCTGCTCCTGCTGGGCTCTGCTCCTGACACCATTAGTCACCTCCCTCGGTTCTCAGCTTCCTTAATGAGCATCTGTCTTGCCTTCAGTCTGAAACAGGCCTGCCCCTGCTTGCTGCTTCCTGGGAAAACCAAGGTCTGGGGCAGGAGTGCAAGGCTCAGAGAAGGCTCCCAATCTTTCTCCCTGCTCCTCACCACGCTCTGAGTGAGAGGTAGTGGTGGGGGCAGAAAAAAGGATTATCCCTGGGCAAAGGAAGAGGTAAGTGGAAGACTACTGAAGTTAAGGAGATGGTTATAAAAAAGCCCTGGCTTCCCTGCTACAAAGAGTCCATGGAGGACAGAGTTGCACGCTTTTCATTGACGGGACAAGGAATTGGCTGAGATGGCAGCAGAAGGAACAGAAGCAAGGCAGCGTGCAGAGAACCCATCCTTGGGGGCAGCTGACGCCACAGGGCCTCTCCTCGGCCGAAGGCCTTTCTCGGGTTGGCCAGTCTCAGCCCTATTACTATTCTCCATGTGTGGAGGCAGGGAGGTGACAGAATAACCTCTTAAGGGCCCTGCCAAACAGCAGAGAACCCTTGATTGAGATTCCGTGACTGTTGTTCTCTCTGAGGCAGCCCTGGGCAAGCAGGGGGCTTCCACGCTGCTATGCTACGGTAAGAGGTTGTTCCACCAGGGGCCTGCAGGAAAAAGGCGGCTCCTTCAGAGGGTGAGCTGAGGAGAGGCTAATGAAAAGACCAGTCACAGGTGACCGGGGCTGCAGGAAACTACGAGGGCCAGGGGGCACCCAGGGCCTGCTGCAGAAGAAAGCCCTTAGCTCTTGGAGGCCGGAAAGGGTAAGAGGAGGCACGCTGGGATTTTTTGTTTGTTTGTTTGTTTTAAGACAGATTCTTACTCTGTCGCCCAGGCTGGAGTGCAGTGGTGCGATCTCGGCTCACTGCAACCTCCACCTCCTGGGTTCAAGTGAGTCTTCCGCCTCAGCATCCTGAGTAGCTGGGACGACAGGTGTGTGCCACCACGCCTGGTTAGTTTTTGTATTTTTAGTGGAGATGGGGTTTCACCGTGTTGGCCAGGCTGGTCTCGAACTCCTGACCTCAAGGGATCTGCCCGCCTTGGCCTCCCAAAATACTTGGATTACAAGTGAGAGCCACTGTGCCTGGGTGTGGTATTGGCAGAACTTGGTGACAGCTGTGGCTGTGGGAGAGCTGTTGCCCCACGGGAGCTGTGGCCTTCTACAGAGGAAGGCAGCTGCTGCCAACACCCAGGCCCAGCAGTGGGGCTGAGGTTGTGGAATGAGTGCCCTGACTTCTTTCTCATCCTATCAGCTAGTCTCCTGCCAGTGCCTTCCATTGGCCAAACCCAGCAGGAAGCTGAGGGCAAGGAGCCAGGGCAGTAAGTACACAGAGGTCAGCTTCCTGTGGCTCTAAGCAGGGCAGGGAAGAATGGAGAGTGAATCTAGAACCTTCTTGTCTCCTCCTCTTGATGTCACATTCTCATAAGCCCACTCCTCCCTGGTTCCTGAAGAGCCTACAAGTCCCTGTGCGACCTGTGCTCAGAACTCATTCCACCTCTCAGACTGAGCTGGTCCAGGTCTGGACCAGGCTCAGGGAGGCTCCAACCACATGGAGAGGTTTCGGTTGCCCTGAGTCTGCCTCTGCCCCCGCTGTACAGCATCAAGATCCCAGATGGTCCCATTTTCCTTGTGCCAGGCTTTAGGAACAGGCAGGCTTGGTAATTACACTTTCCTAACAAACCCCCGCCCCCGTTTGACTCTCTTTCGACTGCATGAAGCAGGAGGTTTCTCCCTGCTTCTCCCCTGCATGAGCACTGGCCTTTGCCTCTGATCTTCTGAAATTCCTTGTGGTGTGAGGGGCCTGGGGAAGCCGGGGGAACGCTTGACCCTCTCGGCATCCTGGAGATTGAGAGTGGGCTTGCTGTCCATGCTTGCCATATCCCAGGAAAAGCCAAGTCCCTCCCTCCTCTCACTTTGGAACTATTAAATTATTAAGTTCCACGGGTTCACTTCTCAACACTGGCCTGGGGTTCCCACCTAGAACCTTTTTTTTTTGAGACGGAGTCTCGCTCTGTTGAGCAGTCTGGAGTGCAACGGCGTGATCTCAGCTCACTGCAACCACTTAGAACCTTAATAGCCCCTTCTTCCATACCAGCCCACATCTCACCCTAACAGTCCTGAAGGTCCCTGAAGGAGGAACTTGAAGTGGACTCTGGGCTCTGAGGCCTAGGGATCCAGTCACAAAGGTACACCTATCTGTTCAGGTAACTGCTCCATCGTCCCACTTTCCCCAGCCTCCAGCACCAACTGGGCCCTAGGTTTTCCCAGTGCACATGTCCTATAATAGAGAGCCACTGTTTTGGCCTGCCCAGTATCCATTTCCCTTGGCACTAGCTTTGGAGATTTGGCTTGGGGCAACTGTTTCAGCTGTTATAATCTTGGTGGACTGTCAGCGAAGGCTACCTCCATTCCCTGGCTAAGGGATTGGCGTGTGACCCAAGCTAGGCCAATCAGATGCTCTCTCCTCCTTGAATCTTTTTTTTTTAAATAGAGATGGGGCTGGGCACGGTGGCTCATGCCTATAATCGCGGCACTTTGGGAGGCCAAGATAGGAAGATCAGCTGAGGTTAGGAGTTTGAGACCAGTCTGGCCAACGTGGTGAAACCACATCTCTACAAAAAATACAAAAATTAACCAGGCGTGGTGGTAGGCGCCTGTAATCCCAGCTACTAGGGAGGATGAGGCAGGAGAATTATTTGAGCCCAGGAGGCAGAGGCTGCAGTGAGCAGAGATTGTACTCTAGCCTTGGCAACAGAGTGACACTCTGACTAAAAATAAATAAATAAATAAATAAATTAATTAATAAAATAAAATAGAGATGTACTCTTGCTCTGTTGCCCAGGCTGGTCTCAAAGGACCCTTCCACCTCAGCCTCCCGAAGTGCTGGCATTACAGACATGAGCCACTGTGCCTGGACACCTCCTTGAATCTGAAATGGAATGACATGAAAATGGGACCCAGTGTAGTGGCTCACACCTGTAATCTCAGCACTTTGGGAAGACTAGACAGGAGGATCGCTTGAGGCCAAGAGTTCAAGACCAGCCTGGGCAACATAGCAAGATCAGTCTCTATTAAAAAAAAAAAAAAAGAAAGAAAGAAAAGAAAGAAAGAAACAAAGTAAATGGAATTAATGTATCCCCAAGGCGGCACCATAAAGGGATTGCTCCATAGCCCTTGATTTCACAGTCCTGCTTCCTCCTGTTTCTGGGACAGCCTCTTTAGCATTTTCTTTGATTCTGTGAGCCACCCTCATTTCTTTCTAATACAATCATTTTTTGCTTAAGTTAGCTAGAGTTTTTCTGTCACTGGAAACCAAAGCCTCCTGACCCATACAAATTTCACCTTCTTAGAGGAGCAGAGGGATGTGCCCCTGTGGTGGGCTCATATTTGGAGGCTCTGGCAGGGGTTCAAATCTCGCCTGGTCCTGGAATGAGAGGAAAGAGAGCCCTGCTGCTAGTGGGTGCTGTCACACCTTACCTCAGGGCCCCAGTCTTTGTGGCCTGTTTTGCTAGGATCCACTCCCAGCCTAACCTCCAGGTCTCAACACTCAACCCACAGCCTGAAATAGCTAAGTTTACCCCCATGACTCCCTATCACAAGTGCTGCAAATGGCTCGGGCTGGTGTCATGGTTCTTTTCCACAAATAGCCATCTCATTCCTGTGCTGTGCCCTTGCTCGTGGTGTTCTGGGACACCTTATCTCAGGGTAAGCTGGGCCCCCCATGCCCTCTGCCTCAGTCCCTCCCATGCCTTCAGACCTTAGGCCACATCCTGCCTCTTCTGAACCAACACTTCACTGGGTTCTCTCTGATGTGGGATAGGCAGAACAAGTGATTTGTGTGGTTGAGCTCTGTTTACTTTGTAGACTTTAGTCTTTGAGGACTTGACTACAAGCTCCAAGTGCCTTGTTACTTTTCTTGCTTGGACCTCAGTGTCAAGCACGAGGCTGGGCACACAGTGAATGGTCATGTTGATTTCTCCACCCCTAGTTTGAAAATTGTTCCCACCCTGTGATTCATATTCTTCATTCATTCATTTACACAACGTTTATCAAGCACCTACTAAGTGTGGGTTGTGTCCTAAGTGCTGGAGGTACACACTGAATAAAACAAAGCCGAGGAATTCAAATCTCATGGTGAAGATTTATTGAGAATTAAATGTAGCAGAATGACCTATTGAGGAAATAACCATGTCTAGTTTTTCTCAGCTGCAGGCTCACCTCAAAAGAATGAAAGGCATTTCATCCCTGGGGCGAGGAGCGGGAGAGAGCCAGACTTCATGTCCTTGAAGTGTGGACTTTCTTGACCCCCATGAGGGTTGGTGTAGTTCAGAGTAGAAAAGAGAAGCTGCAAGCAGCAGGATTCCCAGAAGACAACTTCCAAACAGACTTTTTAAACAAAGATTAGGATTGGAGGCATAATGCTTCCCAGATTAAAGCGCGATGGTCTCAACTCAAGAGGGTTAGTTGAAACTCTCAAGACCAGAGAGGGAATGAAGGTATGAATTCCATCGATGGCAGAAACCTGCACTCACGAGGATGTGTCCTCTGAGATGGGAGGACCTAGGAGGAAGAATATGTGGGTGACCACATGTGTGCTAATAATAACAGACAGCATTTAGTGCATACCTACTGTGTGCCAGGAAGCGCTGTGTGAGGCATGTTGTACGTATTCACTTATTTCTCACAAGAACCCTGTGAAGTAGGTACTATTATTGTTTCCATCTGACAGATAAGGCAAAGATAGATAAAGTGAACTTCCTAAGGTTATGGATCCAAGAATCAAACCCAGGCGATCAGATTTCACTGAGGGCCATGTATGCCTATGAGGGCTGAGCACAAAGGGCTGCAGTTCTGGGAGCCTTTGTTCTCAAAGGACACGGTGACTGAACTTGTCACAGAGGAGATGGGACGGCACCCCCCACCTGCAGATG